GCACGCACACACACACACACACACACACACACACACACACACACACACACAAGTTTCATGGAATGAAACTTACCCCTACCACCTAGGACAAGCTCTCTGCCCTAATCTACTTGATTTCATTTAAATAATAAGTTCTGGTTGGGGCTTCCCAAAGTGATTTCATTACTTACTCCTGGGTGGTGGCCTGCAGTTTGAGAGTGAAAGAAAGAGGGACCATTCTGAGGGACCCTCTGGAGTATTGGAAGTGTGTAGGTGTCATCTGCCTGTGCCACTTTGGCACACTGGGAGCCCAAGAGCTGAGCCTCCAGCAGCTCAGAGATTCTAGCAGCCCAATGCTTCTGAGACACTACAAACACTTGCAGGTAAGAGTAAGCAAACAAGAAAGCCTGAGGGAGGTGTCAAGAGAGACAGCAAGGACATAAAGATGTTGCACAGCAATCCTCTTACCTGCTGACTGTGGATAGTAACCAACGCTACATATGGGGTGATCAGAAAATTCGGTGAACATAGAACCAGTTTTACTGCAGTCAAGAGACAGACACATTGCCAAGATCAATGGGGAGGGGGATGAGTGGTGGTGTGTCTTTTGCTGAAATAATTTTTAAAGTGTAAACATTCATCATATTTTGGATTGCCCTTTGTGTTCTGAGAATTTTCACTTCATTCCTCTTCAGTGGTATCTGAAATGCCAGCCCCATTCCTCTTGCACGTTAGGGTCATTATTAAGTAAAATAAGGCTTACTTGAGCCCAGACACAATCAATGTGAGTGTTGTGGCTTAGTGGATGGGTCATGTACTCAATTCAGATGTGCTAGACCAGGGGTGAATCACATCCTGGTGAGATGAAGCTGTACGGCCCGAGACTTCAACACACTGCTCGGCATGCTGTGCCATTTATTTAATTAATTTATTTATTTTTATGCTTTAGATAGACGGTTTATTCCTGGGCATTTTCATCTCATATTTTCAGAGCCTGCCTGATTGCAGGAAAATGAAACCTTGGATAAGTGGGGGGAGGGGCCACTGTAGTTTAGCAAATAAAAAAAAGATACCTTTAGGAGGCTGAGGCTGGTGAGTAATCACCAACACCTTTCAGGCAGTCACTGGGCTCTGGGCGTTATTCTAATCATCCTTACATGTGTTAACTTATTTAATGCTCAAGTTAACTCTGTGAGAAAGGTGTTCTCCAGGTAAGGGAACTGAGGCACAGAGAGGCGAGTGAGAAGGGCTGAGAGTAAGAAGGTGAACCCACTTTCATAATCTAGAAACTGGGACTGATGCCAAGGTCTTCGGCAGAGAAATCCTGCAAGGCAGCGAGGTCAAGGGCTCGTCTAAGCCAGTCCTGCCCACGGTGGTGCTCAGCGCATGTCCACAGAAGGAGGATCAAAGGCTCAGCCTAAAGGGCTGCCTCCCTTGTCTCACACGTGGAGAAATCAAAACCAGTCTCTCTCCAGTCGATGCAGACTCTGTCCTGTCTCCATGCCCTGGAACAGATAACCACAGAGCCTGGAAGGGACCCTGTCTGCATGGTGCTGCTTCGCCTTGGGTTTCAACACAGTGTAGAATTGTGAGAAGCTAGAGTAGTTCATCCTGGAGCACCTATGGGTATAATCCCGTGCTGGCTCCAGCTTGCTCTGAGATCACACAGTGTGGCAGTCTTGGTGGGGGGTGAGAAGGCTGTGTGTGGTTACCTGTTACCAGCACCTTGGGCTTCACAGTTCTCTTAACATTTGGGTGTGTTGAAAGTGTCCACAATAAAGAGATTTAAACATGGGCACCAAAAGGGAATCTATAGATCCAGCAGGAAGGGAGGTGGAGCTGGCTGAGTAACACTCCCCTCCCAGCCTGATGTTTGCCTGCTTTGGGCACATTGAAAATGTGCTTCCACAAGCAGAAGAACTAGATCCCACCCCATGCCATGAGTAATTTCAGCACACACACACCCCCACTCCTTTAAAATGGTTACTTAGCTAGGGCTGGGGATTTAGCTCAGTGGTTCCACCACCTGCCTCGCAAGCACAAGGACCCGATTTCAATGCCTGGTACCCAAAAAAAGGTTGCTTGGCTTCAGGACCTTGACTAAACTCCTCTTTTGAGTAATTTGTGACCATTCAGATATCCAGTAGGAAAAGGTGTTTATATAAAAAATAAGGGTAGAATGCATTTTAAAAAAATAAAGCTCAGTTTTGAAAAGGTCTTTGAAAGCTCTAGCTAGAAAATACTCAAAAGTCAGCTTCAAATGTCTCCATTGGAAAGCGGACCCTCCAGCCCCTCAGCCTTTCTCCCGGCCTCCTGCTGTCACTTTCTGCTGGCCTCCTGTGCAGGTCCTGCTGGGGTGTGAGGCGGTCTGGGGCATGCAGCAATACCTCGGGCTTTGGCCTGTCCCCAGGTCCCATAGCCGGCCCTCTGTGTTCCCAGCACGGTGCTGTTGCTGAACCCAGTGGAGGTGGAGGCCGAATTTCTCACCGTGGCCAACAAGCTGAGTGCGCCTGGGCACTCACCCCATAGCACCTACACTACCTTGCTCCTGCATGCCTTCCAGTCCACCTTTGGGGCCCACTGTGACTTCCCAGGTCTGCACTGCAAGCTACAGGTAGGGACCCAGGGCCCTGACAAAGCTCTTCTATAGAGGCACAGCCCCTTCTCTGCTCCGTCTGGGCTGCCGTCTCTGGTATACACTGGCCTCCCTCAACCTAAGGATCATGGCAAGGCAGTGGTTGGGTGGCCAGAGTTGAGTGGCACCCTGGGCAGTGGGGCTGGGGGCTGATGCTTGGTGCCTCAGAAGAAGGGACTTAGCGTGGCAGTGGGAGGGAGCTTTAGATGGAAGGCTGGCTTCTAGTCCTGGCTTTGTGATCAGTAACCTGTGTCACCTTGTACAGCCTTTTCCCCTGTGGACCCTCTGGGGTGCAGTGAGGATCTGAAGTCCCTCCTGCTCTGCAGTGCCTTGCCTCTGGGCCTTTCTCTCCTGACCATTTCCTGAGAGCATAGGGGAGGGAGAGGGTGGTCCAGCTCCCTGGATGGTCATCACAGAAGTAGGCAGTGAGGCCAGGCAGCAGACTGGTCCCTGCTGCTGTTGGTGAGACCCTGGGAGCTAAGGCAGGTGGCCAGGCCACAGGACAGGAGCAAATCTTGTCGCTTCTTGGTCTTTCAGTCAAAGGCTCTGGCAGAGCTCGAGGACATCTTCACAGAGACGGCAGAAGCACAGGAGTTGGCGTCCAACATCGGGGATGCGGCAGAGGCCCGGCAGTGGCTCAGAACAAAACTGCAGGCAGTAGGAGAAAAGGCCGGCTTCACTGGGGTCTTAGGTGAGGCTCTGGGATAGGGAGTTCTGCCCACTTTCTCCAGCCCAGGGTGTGCAGTCCAGTGGGCCTGGGGACTTGTACCCCACTGCCTGCCAGGGTCTGAGTTCTTCACTATCTCATTGCTCCATCATTCCTCAGGACATCTGTCCTGTCTGCAGGTGCAGGCTTGAATAGACAGGGCTTACCCAGGGCACAGAGGATTTGGACGCAGTAAGATAATGCTCAGAGGCTCTGACTTGGCCGTCTCGCCAAGACTAGTCAAGGCCGTGGCATCCACATGGCATGCGTCAAAGAAGGCCCTCTGGCTGCGAGTTAGGCATCCTGGCTGTAACTCAGTCTTAGCCCATCCAGAAACCTGGTGTTCTTCCAGTCCTTCTCTAAGTCTGACCTTTTCTTTAAGGCAAGGGGACTGGGTAGCCATCCTCCAAGGCCCTTTCTCAGCCTTCTTCTCCTGCCCTCCTCGTACTTACAGATACTGCAAACCCTGGGAAGCTCCACACCATCCCCATCCCTGTTGCCAGGTGCTATACCTACAGCTGGAACCAGGATAGCTTTGGTAAGGAACAGGCTGGGTCCCGGGGGCTCCTAGCCCCACAATGCCCAAGCTCTCCTTCTGGCTCTGGGTCTATGCTGCTGCCTTGCACTCCCACACACCCTGCTCCCTACACAGGCTCTAAGCAGAGCAAAGGCAGGCACGCTGAGTCCTGTGCCGGCCCTGATCCCCCTTCTGCTCTTCTTCAAGTACAAGGGCC